AAGCCAACCCCAATTAAATGTTGTCCCTATAAGACTTGCCATGGTCATGGTGTCGGTTCACAGCAGTAAAACCCTAAGGCAGAAGGAATGCACAAAATCAAAATATGGTGTAGAGTGAAAAATTAGAGATACTGGGTATATAGAATCCTTTTTAGACATAAAATATTCTTTAGGCTTTCTTTATAAAGACATGGAGGCATGAAGCAAGTTAAGAATGTGGACAGACTAGTTACGGGAACTGGCTAGAATGCAAGTCAGCCAGGTGGAACCAAGCTGAGAACCATAGTGACAGGGCAAGGCCGAAGTAACAGGGCAGGACCACATTCTTGAGAAAGATAAGCGTACAGAGAGTTTTCACCTGATCCTGACTCACGTAGGTTGGGTTCCGTTGGAATGTTCCACTATTTTTATGTTATGCCACCTCAACAACCTCTCACCCCCTCCCCATTCCTTGGTTTGTGGTTTTTCCCTTTAAAAACCCCTCTCAAACTGGCTGTTGGGGTCAATTCAGCTCCTGCGTGGGCATACGAATTGACCAGCAGCTAGCTGTCACATGCCCTAATAAACTTCGCTATTGCTCCGGTACACAGTGTCTCGAGCAGATTACTGGGTGGTCGCGACTTTCTGAGACTTGAGTGAGGGGTCTCCCTTCTTTGGAGGTCTTCAATGGTGGGAAGGGATTGTTGAAATTCTGAATGCTGATTATTTTTAACAGCATTTTTCAGGCCTACAATATATCCTATTAATAAGGACCAGGGCCTTCAGTATTAATAAGGACCAAGGCTAGCCTTTGAAACCAGAGAAGAAGAAAGCATAGGAAACTTCTAGAAGCCCCCTTCACAGTGGTGATCCATGAACTGTCACCCTAACTATCTGGGTTCCCAGTCCGCAGAACCTATGGAGTGGAGGCTCACATCCCCGTAGTTGGAGACCTGTCTCCTTGGGGTGGCTTGTGTTTCTCAGCTCTATTCAAGCTGCCCTCTGCAGAATGCCATGTGGTCCCAGACTGATGGGAACTGATTCTGTGTGAGAGGCCACCTAGGAGGCCACCCCTCCCCCACATATGCCTCACAGCAGGCTGCAGTATGCAGCTCTGAGACCTCAGTGCCAAGTGATATAAGAAACAGCCAGCCCGGGGCCCTAGCCTCAGGGCCAATCACACAGCCGCCCCTTCACCACCTGGGATGCCTTCTATCTTCCTTCAGTCTCAGCTCTCCACCATCTGCCATTCCTGTTTCTCCTCTGCTCTCTGGAATTCCTCAGCTACCTTCAGAGCTGACGCTGACGCTCTTCTTGTAATGACACCAGAGGGCAGCATAGGATGCTCACCAGACTGGAAGAATAAACCCTTAGCCTTCAAAGGTGTGTGTGTGTGTGTGTGTGTGTGTGTGTGTGACCACTTTGTCCCCAGTTATTATAGCAGGCCCTCATGCAATCTAGGAACCATATTTGCACCAATCACATGCTTTCTGCTGTTTTGGGGATAAAAATGGCTGCTAGAGTTCCCCCAGGCTTATGATGGTAAAAGTTCTCACACACGGGGCTTCAAGCAGTGGCCAAAGCCTTCAGGAGCCCGAGTGCTTTGGCAGCAAACAGCTGCAGTTGGCCTGGAGAGTTCAGCCACGGAGAGTTCAAAGCAGTAGGTGCTGGCGTAAGCCGCAGTCAGGCTGGCTGCTTGGCTGACAGTCTTTGCCCAAGGCAGGCTCTTCAGAAAGACAAGGCGTGCACAGCATGTGACTGGCAGCCTGCTGTGTTGGCTAAGATTAGGTTCAAGTGTGAGGGGAAAGCCCAATGTGGCTAAACAAGATAGCCATTTATCTTGCTCATTCCAAAAGCTATTGGAAAGCTGAATTCCAAGGCCATGGCAGACACATCACAGTGTCGGGGATATCAGCCCCTGTATCTTGTTGAATGAGAGGCTTCTGGTCCCTAAGTTAAACTATGGTTCAAGATGGCTACCATACCTACAGACGCTGCAAAACAAAAGCAACTCCACCCCCACAACCCACTCCCCGCCCCAGAGCTAGAAAGAACCCAGACCCTCTCTTTTGAGAACATGGCTTCCCCATTCCATTCCCCTGACCAGAACTTGGCTGCTGGGCCCCGTATCACTCAAGGGAGGCTAGAAAGCATAGGTTTCAATAGGCTTCAGTTAGGAACAGATATGTATCCAACCCCCTCTCCTAAAAAAAAATCAGGGCTTCTATTACAGTAGGGAATTTAAAAAATAAAACCTAAAAGCGTATCTGGGAGGATAAGTTCCCTGCAAAAGACTGATTAAAACTAATTTAACTGTGAATTCCAGAAACTGTTCTTGGGTAAGTCTCCCCAGGCCAATTTATAAGGATTTGGAGTTGTACTGTTCATTGTGGCAACACCGAGTCTATCCAGAGTGCTTGCTGGTCATGAGTGAGCACCCACAAACGCGGGATCCTACAGAAGAACCCTTCTCCCCACTGCCTGGAGAGACTGCCATGGGGTGTTAACAGGTGCAGAGCTTTCAAGACACAAAGATGAAATGGTAACACCCTCCGGGTGAGCACCAGACACCGGCTAGCTCCAGGTCACCCAGCTCCTGCCCTGTGTGACTCAAAGTCAGAGGGAGAAGGCCACCTTTTACTACACATCTCAACCTGCAAGAAGTTTACAACTCACCTTGTTTTGCTTTCTGGTGTGTGAATAGTGTTTGTATTTATTTTTTAAAACAAAGAACAAAACATCTGGAGCGATGGCTCAGTGGTTTACAGCAGATGACTCTTACAGAGGGCTAATGCCTTCCTTAGTCAGGGTTTCTATAGCGATGATGGAACACCATGATCCAAAGCAACTTGGGAAGGAAAGGGTTTTATTTTTCTTATACTTTCATATCACAGTTTATTATCCAAGGAAGTCAGGAGAGAAGCTGAAACAGGTCAAAAATCTGGAGGCAGGAGCTGATGCAGAGGCCATGGAGGACTGTCGCTTACTGGCTTGCTTCTCAAAGCTTGCTCAGCTGCTTTCATATGGAACCCAGGCCCACCATCCCAGGAGTGTCTCCTCCCACATCTAACATAATTAAAATATATATATATATATATATATGCCCTCCATCTGTGGTTCTCAACCTCTGGGTCGTGACCCCTTTGGGGTCAAATGACCCTTTCACAGGGGTCACCTAAGACCATCATAAAACACAGATATTTACGTCACGATTATGAAGTAGCAACAAAAGTAAGTTTATGGTTGGAAGGCACCACAACGTGAGGAACTGTGTTAACATTAGAAGGTTGAGAACCACTGCCCTATAGACTGTCTTACGGAGGCATTTTTTCACTCAAAGTTCCCTCCTCTCTGATGACTTTAGTTTATGTCAAGTTGGCATAAATCTAACCACCATAACTGAGTGCTTTTTCTAGGACCCATTTTGGCTGCTCATAATGCCCTGTAACACCAGAGGATCCAATGGCTTCTTCTGGTCTCTGTGGGCAGCCCCCCCCCCACACACACACAGCACATGCCCACACAAACATACATAGAGTCACATAAATAATTTTTTTAAATTGGCATCTGCCTCAGCTCTGTGGTGGCTCCCCTCCCTACACTCTTAACAGTGACAGCTCTGACAAGCCAAGTTTGCAACTGTGATGTCACAGCCTACTCCTCCCAACTACACACACACACACACTGCATACATGTACACACACCCCACACACACCCCCTCTGTCACACGAATACACTTATGCACACATTACACACATGTACCCACACACCCACACCCATCCACTCTCTCTCACGCACATGCACAGGCATGCGTGCGCACACACACAGCAAAGACATGAATCCAGCTCTGGACTTGGCTGCCCAATCCTCCTTGGTGGTTCTAACAGCTGCTGTCATTTCAGTTCGAGCAAGCTATCTGCACCTGCAGGCCAGGCTCCCATGTAAGCTACAGGGCACGCTTCCCAGTGTGCCACTTGGGGGAAGCTCCTAGAGACTCTGGCAGCTTTGTGGTCTGTCCCTTCACCACCAGGACTGAAGTCCACTGACCATGCCAGGTCATGTGCAATGTCCAGGCTTGTCAACGTCCTTCTGGGCCTGGATCCCAGTGGGTCTTCTAGAGGGCTTTATCATGTGACACGATGTTAGGGGTCATGCCCTTGGCACCCTCCTGGCCTAAGGGCCAGCCATTGGGGCAGGTAGAGACCCAGCTGAGCTGTGATAGCCCTTTGGCTCTGACTTGGCTATAACTTTAGCAGATCTGCTTAGAGGTCACCAACCACACTGAGTTCCTTTCCACACCAGGCCTTACAAAACACCCTACAGTTCCAGCCCTTTTCTATTTTATTTTTATGTGCATTGGTGTTTTATCTGCAAGGAGCCTGTGTACCACATATGTGTCTGGTGCCTGAAGACATCAGAATAGGGCAGATCCCCTGGGATGGGCATTATAGATGGTTTTGAGTCATCCCGTAGGTACTGGGAATCAAATTCAGGTCCTCTGCAGGAGCAGCCAGTGCTCTTAACTGCTGAACCATGGCTCCAGCCCACTCCCACCAACCAGTGTTCCTAACCACTGAGCTTCCGCTCCAGCCCACACCCAGCACTTTCTTCCGCTATGTGTGAAGCTACTACTGTGCTCTCAGTCTGCATCCCTGCAGTGTCTGGCACTGGTCCAGAGGCTAGAATGGGTTTCTCTAGCAGGTGATTGGTGGCACACAGGGTCAGATGGGTCTCTTATCCCCTGCTTTACAGATGGCATAACTGGAGAGGTGGTCCGAGATGACAGCTGAAGGAGCTGAGGTTGGGAGGGACTACAGGCTCCACTATACTGCACTAAACATGGCAGGGAGCCATTCTCAGCTCACAAGAACTCCCCTCTTTCCACATCCATCTCCTCCCCTCCAACCAGTGACAGTGACCTGCCCCTCACCCTGCCCTGGCAGCCAGTTCTGGGGTCATCTCTTTTGGGGGCCTCCCTATTACTTGTATGGCCCTGTTGCTGAAAAGCACCGGCCTACACCTACTACTTTTTACTTTTATTAAAAAATAGATCAAGAAAATATATACACTGCAGCCTTGTGGCCGAGAGCTGTGGAGAAGGGACAAGGAGCTGGGCAGGCAGGACCCCAGCAGGAAGGTAGAGCTGGGGAGGCGGTGGTCTCAAACTAGAGCACAGGAGGCAAAGGAGAACGGGGTGACGGACAGGAAGAGGCTGGTAGCCTGGGGCGTAGGCATGCCTGCCCAGGGGTATCCACACGAGTTCCCCAACACTGGCACTCCACTCTACCCAGGAGCCCATCTGTCTTCACAGGCCTCCCCATGCTTAGGTGCCCACTCAGGCATTGATGGCTTTCCAGCGCTCGCTGTCTGTGCTGTTGATGCTGCCCGTGTGGCAGGGCATGGAGGCAATGTCATCTAAGTAGGCCACCCCAGCAGAGTCAAACTGTGTGCTGGAGTAGTTGGCTGCAGAGGCCCCCACAGGCCCTGCAGACTCTACACCCTCGCGCCGGGCCACGGCGTAGGGTTGTGGCAGGTGCATGTCCGGCTCTTCAGCCTCGTCCACTTGGCATTTGTAAGAGAACAGGATCTTGGGCTCTGAGCTGGTGAGAGTGCAGAGAAGCCACTGCTGTCAGGAGGAGGAGAACCAGACAAAGCCTAGCTCATCTGAGAAGCCTAGGTCCCCTGAAGGAACCCTTGACCCACCAAGATTTGCTCTGAAGCTGGTCCTACCCACTCTTGAGAGCTGGGGCAAAAGTTTCTATACCTCGGCACCCATGGGTGTGTTAGCACCTCATGGGAGACAATAAACTAAACCCTAGCCTTCAACAACCCTGGCCAAGTGTGTCCCCTATGCCTGCAACATATGAGTACCCACTCCTGAACCTGGTCACTGTCTTCAGGGTTGTGCACTCAGGGAGAGGTTCCATAGAGCAGCAGCCTGTGTACACAGGAGCAGGCAACAGCCTAATACAGCCTCGCCTAGGCCTCCCCTGAGACAGTCCATGTCTGCTACCCAGTCTTGACAAGACAGCAAACTCCTGCCTACACTCCACCAGATCAGGCCTGGGTGGCAGCCTGTCCTTGTCCCTGCATCCTAGCCTCAGCCATTCCCCACCTACACCTATATACCGGCTACTGTGGGCCCTCAGCGTCCCTTCCAGGTACATGCTCCCCAGCACACTCATGCCTGCTTTGCTCCCCTGCTGTAGCTCATAGCAGGTGCTTGCTGACACACTAGGTAAGGGAACAGCACTGCTGAATGGCAGCCCTGTCTCTGGGGTGTGCACCCGTCTGCGCTTGCTGTACACACAGAGAGCATCTACACAGATGCACTCATGCGCTGCTCCGTGCCCCCCTCCACCCACCTCCACTGCCATGCACACGCAGCGGTTGTAGGTGCAGCCGCATTAGAGTGCAGAGGTCTGGCCATCCATCCCTCACTCACCCGAAGAAGCCGCGGAGGAAGGCCACATAGATGAGCGGGGCAAAGAAGCTGAAGTACAGGAAGGTGGTGGCATCCACACAGCTGCGGGAGGGAGCAGGTCAGCATGGCCGGGACCCGTGCTCCTGCCCTGACCCCATGCCTTGCCCAAAGGAATGAGGACCCCTTCTGCCACAGTGGTGGCCACTTGTACCCCATGCCCACCCCACCCTCATGGTGGCTACTCACTTACCAGAGCCCCTCAATGATGTTAGCGCAGAGCAGGGCACTCCCCAAACCCTGCAGCAGGTTGAGTGTGGCCAGGATGCCTGCATACACGTAGAAACTCCTCCGTGCTGGGGGGCAAGGGTCATGAGCTTCTGAACCACCCCACCCTCCAGGCCCAGGTATAACCCTTGGGTTTTGCCCCTTCCCAGGCTCTTCAGCTGCAGGCTAGGAGCAGGCCAGTGCCCTCACACCTCCACCCCAGCAAGTACTCACAGGGCAGGGATACGCGCTCCTTCAGCGGGGTCTTGGGGAGAATGACCACCAGTGAGTAGACCTGTAGAGATAGGGGTGACAGGGAGGCCGGGCCGGGCCAGGCTACTTCACCTGCCCCCAGGGAGCACGCCAGACCTCACCAGGAAGAAGAAGCAAGAGCTGACGAGCCAGAACTGCCGGCCACCGTGGCCATAGATGTTGAAGTCCTCAGCAGAAAGATGGGAGTCAGGGTACAGGATCTCCAGAGTGCCCTGTAGTAGGCGAGCAGGTCAGCTCACTCCTACCACCGGAGCCTCTCTTGGTTCTCCCTTGCACGGCTCAGAGCTCTCCAGCATGCCAGGCTCTACCCCTGCCTATGTCTTGCCCACCCACCTAACTCCATCGGCCATGCCCACCCACCTAACTCCAGGGGCAGGTCAGACCCTGCCTGAGTCCTCTGTGGGCAAAGCATAAGGACAGTCTAATCCAGCCTTAAAACAACAACAACAACAACAAAATTCCCACAGCATATACTCTCAGGGTGCCTGTCTAGGCACTAGCTAGCTCTCACACATTTCTTAGCCTTCTCACGGTTCACCTATCGCCTGTGTCTAGGGAAAGTTGGTCCTGCCTAGTCCATGTTCCTTGGGAACACTCCTAGTTTAGAAACATGACCCTTGACCCTACCACCACATACCTGGGTGACTGAGTAGGCCAGAGACAGTACTGTGGTGATAGCCAGTACCCGCTTGATGCTGGACTTGCTCTCTAGGTGACCTGTAAGGGAGAGAGGTGAGTCAGCCCCTCCTTCTAGGGGCTATCTCTGGGTAACTACAAGAAGGGTAGGGAGAGTGGGCCCAGGTCCAAAGACACATACCAAAGGCAAGGCCCAGGATGATCACACTCAGCTCGATGGCCAGCAGGAAGAAGCGGGTGATCTCCCACAGGATCTAGGGCACAGAGAGGCACAGCATCAACTAAGGGCGGGCTCCACCCAGCTAGACCTCCCTGAGGCTCTCCAACAGGATGAGGATACAGAGGGCACATCATAACCTCCACCAGACTGGCTGCCTCCACGCACCTTGTCAGCAACTGTCGCAGCATCAGAGGCGCTGACTGTCATAGAAACCACAGCCCTGGCAATGCCTACCAGGGCTACCACAAACACCTGCAGGGCAAGAGAAGGACAGAGTGCAGTGTCAGGACCAACAAGGCTTCACTTTCACAGAGTCCACTCAAGAATGGGAGGTTTTAACTAGACAAGGAAGGGGACAGGGAGGGTCCAACACAGGCTTCAGGCATGGACAACTCCACTGCCGCCCAGCCAGCCCCGGCTGACACCCGTGGCTAGAGAACCAGGCAGCTGGGGTTCCGACCTATCCCTGCTGCTTCCCTGCTCTATGACTTTAGGCAAGTGATAGAGGAAAGCCAGCCTCTGCCCATTCCTACCATCAGAGGACACTAGCCTCGCTAGCCTGCTAGTGCCTTGAGGCTATGCCCAACAGCCCGCAGTGCTCCCCAGGTCATGTCTCCCTGCATGCCCACCAACCTTTAGTGGGGAGCTCAGAGCCTGACCACTGAAGGGACCAGGGAGCCACTCAGCTACTGGAATGATATCTGAGAGTCTCAGTGTGGGGGTATTCCAGCCAGGCTCCTCTCCTTACAGAAAAAAGAGCCCCATATCCTGGAATAGGGGTATACCCAGAGAGGTCACCCTTAGAGCCTCTGCCTCATGTAAGCCTTCTCCTTATCCCCAAAACAGCACACATGGGGCCCACGAAAGGCTGAGTCCACAGGCCCTCCCCTCAGGTGAGCCTGCTGCAAAGACATTATACAAGTGGAGGGATGGAGGACTGAACGTAGCTGCTGTGCACGTTTTTCCTCACCCAGCGTTCATTCCACCCGCCTCGCTCAGTCAGCACGGTCTACCGACCTGCCCCACCCTTCCCTTCCCTTGTGAGCTTGTTATTGGCTCAGGCATGAACGTGGGATCTTAGGTGGGCCAATCCAAGGACAGGCTAGGTCTCCCATAGCAGCCAGGAAAGAGGGGCTCCCTGGTGCCGCTGGAAAAGCCAGGTGAGTTCCTGTCCGTCCTTGGCATCATCTTTATAGGGAAAACCAAGTGCAGCAGAGAGCAAGAGGAAGAGCCCCTGGATCCAGCCATAACAGAAGGCATGTTCATTATGGAACTTCATTCATTTCCCTTTTGTGCTTAAAGCAGAGTTGGGCTTTTTGTCACTGATGGAAGGAAACTCACCAAGATGTAGAAGGTGATAAAAATGGGGCTGGAGGTGACACGGATCTTGGCTCGAGCTAAGGGAAGTTTCCAGAGCAGGAAGATGAAGAAGAGCACATTGGGAACGAGCAGCAGGAGGTCCCAGTACCGGACCCTGCAGGGCACAGAAGGTGGCTCACTGGTGAAGTAGGAACACAGTTCCCCAGCCCATAACACCCTGACACCCTGAGAGTCCACCCACAACCCTCCCCTAGTGGGGCCAGGACCCTACCTGGAGGAGCCGATATCCTCATACAGCAACAGCAGGCATTGGTGGGGCTCACTGATATTGGATGCTGGGGGCGGTGGCCATGCTGTGCTTCCATTGGCCTCCTGCAGGCTGGCCATTCCACCAGCAGTGGCCCTGAAGACAAGCCCATGTGGTTAGGGCACAGGGCCCTGGCCCTCCTCCCTCAGTCTAAGGCTACCAAGGAAAACCAAAATGGCAGTGCAGAGTGTAGGCCATACTTGGGACTCGCTGAGTAGAAGGCTGGGAGAAGGCTGAGGGGCTCTTAGCTCCATACAGGGCCTGTTCCCTCCTCTCAGGCTCTGCCTTAAGCCTCTGCCCCTGATAGCCACACAAGCTATCTCCAGTGATTGAGCATCATGTGACAGAGAGCAATGACAGGCACCAACCAAACTGTCCCTCCAGTCTCCAGAGATAAAGGAGCTCAGAGCATGGTCCCCACCCTGCTTCTGCTGCTTGGCCTCCCGGTGCTTCAGTGTTCTCTCTGGACTGGTACCGAGACCAGTATTCTCTAGGTGAGGCTGTGGTGATGTAGAAAGCCCCAGCAGGTAGGTCTGTACTGGGAAGGCTGAGTGATACAGCTCCCAATCCCACCTTGCAAAACCCACCCACCATCTGGTCTGAGGCCACACAGCCGCTAAAGTCTTCAAAGGGACCCAGATCCCTCTCTGTTGCACTGGAAAAGCAGCTGCAGGTGGAGGGGACACCTGAAGCACACAGAGGTCTCTAGGTACAAAAAGGGTTAAAGGAGTCATCTGAGAAGGCTGGGTTCCCCAGAGAAGCTGGAGGCCAGAGTAGCTCAGAGGCCAGTGTCTTTGTGACAATTTGAGGAGGAAAGTCTGACATTCAGCCTGCAAGACCAGAGAGTTCATGATCTGAGGTCTGAGGAATGCCTTGAAGGGAGGGGACTAATGGTGGCCAGAAAACCCTAGACAAGGAATCTCGGTGAGAGGACTGTGTAGGGATGGTAGTGGGGCCTCCTGCTGGACAAGCTGAGCCTCAGGTCAGTGATCTGAAGGAAATCACCTCTATCCAAAACAGCAGCAGCCAGGCAAAGGTTCTGCACGAGTGAAGCAGTGTCAGCCCTTGACCACAAGATGGCAGTAGAAAGAATGAGCCTGAAATGCGGTAAAATGAATGGGCCTCCCGAATGTGATGTGGGTGGATCCGGAATCAATGAGCCATACACGTGACCCATACAGAAACAGGCTGGGATTGACTCTGCAGACTTTGGGTGGCACACTGTGTCCCAGACACTCCACCTAGACATGAGCGCATGATCTTGTATATACTACCAGGAACGCTTCAGAAATCTTTTCAGAGGAAAAGATCGTGGCTTGGTGACCTGTCTGTGGCAGGAGTGGAAAGGAGCTTGGTGCCCCCTGCTCAGTGTCAGCGGTAACTCAAAGGGAGCACCATGGTTTTGCTAACTCTAAGCAGCAGCAGGAAGAGGCAGGGCTTGGGGGACTCGGGGACATTCTCGGTTTGCCAGGGTCATTACATTCCAGTGCTGTCTCTGCTGAAAGGGACAGGAAACCTCTAAGCAGACAGCCAAGACCCTGTCCCCAGCCTTCTCCGATTTGTTACACTTCCAGCTTTCTGAGGGGGAAGTGCAAGGAGGGAAAGTAAGGACCTGTTCCTAGTGGGACATCCCCAAAAGAAGCTGGCTTTTCCCGACCACGGCAAAGGTGAACAGAGCACCATCCTTCACTCACACACCGTTGCCCAGTAGATATGACCACATGGTTAGTATAACCAGCAACTCACTGGGCTGCTCAGATGTGGGAGGGACAGGGCAGGCAAGGCCTACCCTCCTGAGGTCTTCGTCCCAAGGATGGGGGTGGGGATGGAGACACAAACCCTTTTTAAGTGCTGAGAAGACAGTGCAGTAGGTCACTAGGACAGGAACATACACCACACAGACATGTTTCCAGGATCCACACTCCTTACCAGCAGAACCCTGGATTTCAGTCTGCTCTCCCCAGCTTCCCTTGTAGGAGGGACTGGCCACGTGGACACCAGCAGAGTGCAACTCGCCAGTTTCAGGTCGTGCCCTTCTTCCTTCCTGTTAGCTGGAATATGGATGTGATGGTAGGAACAAGAGCAGCCATGTTAGACCTTCAGATAGAAGTAGGTCTCTCCATGTATGCCCAAGGCTGCTTCCACAGACAAACAAGACAGTACGGTTTTCTATCTAGTTATCATGGCCTTGCTTCACAGTTAAGGCTGAATTCCAGGGAACATAAGAAGGTTGGTTTGGGTTGGTGTTCTGTGAAGAGGACACATGACTGAGGAGTCAGCCTTGGAAAACTCTGAATAAAGAACATTCCTTAGAGAGAACAGCAAATACAAAAGCTCTGAGGTAGAAACAGACTTGGCCAAAGACCAAAAAGAATAGGCCAGGGTAGCTGGAAAGATCAACACAGTTGGTAAGGCTGGGTCAGATTGGGTAGCACACCTATAACATGATTTCACTCTCAGTACTGAAAAGGGTCTTTCCAAAGAGGTGACAAGACCCATGTCATATGGGTGGGGTCCTTTAGGCCACTGCAGAGAATGGACAGGCCTAGGTGAGGCAGGAAGGAGGTACAGCAGCAGGTCAGAGAAGGTGGGATAGGGTCAGGCAGTCAAAGGGCCCACTTTCCCGAGGGTGCTCGGCACGTCTGCTCTGTCCACAGGTTTAGATGGGATTAACTCCATACATCACAAATGTCAGGAAACTCGAGCATATCCAAATCTGGCCAACCAGCACCCTGGCCACTGAGTACCCTGCTGAGGTCAGCAGGCCAAGTGTGACTCTGGGCTGGGGCCCTGGAGAGAAGGCTCACAATGGGCAGAGCCACAAGGTGGATGCAGAGAGAAACAATGAACTCCTGGTAACCCTTGGATTCAGCCACACATGACACCCATCCTTCCCAATTGTAAGACTGCCGGGTCCCCTTCACTACCAGGGTGTTCGAGTTTGGCCTCTCGATTTTCCAAATGTATCAGATGTTTACTATTTTGCATTGCTGGACACTGGACCTATGCTAGGCAAGAACTGGATACTGACCGACGTCCCCAATCCTCCTTAAGACAGGGTCGCCCTATGTTGCCCATGTTGCCCAGCCTTGAACCTGTGATTCTCCTGTCCCAGCCTCCTAATAGCTAGATAACAACAGGCTTGTGTCCCCAGGTCTGGCTCCCATCTCCTGTAGGTTATGGAACTACCAAGCCAGACTAGGATGGCATTCCTGGTCCTGCCTCCTACTTGCAGTGACCTTTGATGAGTCACTTCCCTTCTGAGAGTCACAGGAACAATCACAGCTACCTACCAAGGTTGCTATGACAGTCAAAAAAAAAAAAAAAGGCAAGCTGTGAAAATGTCTACCAAAGGGCTCAGCGGTTAAGAGCACTGGCTGTTCTTCCAGAGGATCTGAGTTCAATTCCCAGCAATCACATTTGTAATGGGATCTGCATGTAGGTATACATGCAGACAGAATACTCATATTCATGAAAGAACAAAAGGAAGGAAGGAAGGAAGGAAGGAAGGAAGGAAGGAAGGAAGGAAGGAAAGAGAGAGGCCAGGCGGTGGTGGCAGCGCACGCCTTTAGTCCCAGCACTTGGGAGGCAGAGGCAGGCGGATTTCTGAGTTCGAGGC